TCCCATGCTTTGAAGGAAGAGGCTCTCTCCGTAGACATGCTGGGTATGTGCGAAAGACGACTAGATGCTTGGGTGATTAGATGGACGGGTGGAAGTAGATAGCAGGGGCCACGGAGCTGCAGCCTAGTTCTCACAGCTGTTCACACAGGTCGGTTTAATCTAGTGGTGAACAGGCGGGATCAGGGCTGGGCACCACAGATTCTGCCTCAGCTGCCCTGGGTGGGAGGTGCCCGCCTGCCAAGGGGATTAACAGGGAGAGACGGACAGAGGGAAGAAGGGGGGGGGGGGCATTCATGCTACAGGGCCTCAGTGTGATCAAGCTTGAGTCATGATGATCATGGTTTGAGTTTCAGCCTTTCTGCTGCCCTTCTGCTATTATTTCTTATTACAGTGCATGTTTATAGCAGTATTAGGACATTAGGGTAATACTTTAAATATTAGGGGTCACAAGATGATTAATATGAGAGGGAGGCAGAAAAAAAACATTTCCATTTCTATGCTTCATAAAAGTTGGGCTTATCTTTCCAGACTTTGCTCTAATCTTTGTTTTTTTCTGATAAATAACTTGACAATTTAACCGCCCCAGGATGTTTATTCAAGGCAGTCTTTGAAATAAAATGAGGAACAAAGTAAATAAGTCAGTCTTTGGTTGAAATGGACAAAACTAGAAGACTTATGCAACCGGTGATGAGGAATACAAGAAGACATTGCTTCATTTTAAGGGGTCACAAGTCAAAAAGGCTGATAAGATCCACAAAAGGTCATTGGACTGGACTGAAACAGACCGGACTGGACTGGACTGGACCGGACTGGACCGGACTGGACTGGACTGAGGTAGAGACACACAGATAACATAAGGACAAAAATTTTGAATTATTAGTTGGAAGGAAAATGTAACACAAGTAAAATAACATGCAGGAAAAACAGGAGAAAAGAAAAGTGATAAAATATGACTGATGCAACTGTGCACAGCCAAGACAGAGATACGTACAACCGAACCATATCACTGAAAATGCATGTGTACTGGTTTACAGTAGCAATGTCATTAATATGAGTTAGTAACAGTGTATATATGATGTCAGCATTACTAGTAAGATACTACTGTTTGAAGCTTATGTATTTAAAGGAACCCCATGTACGTACTCACCAAAGTGATTGCCAAGATTTTTGGTTGATGGTGATGTCACTAAACACTGGCCCAACAGGAGGAACAAGTTTGCAACGTTGGACGAGAGAATGAAGGCTAGTATTAGAACTGCAACGCAGACTGTTCATTGTAAACATCCACCGCAGCTAAACTAAAGGAGTTTGGTTTTCCTGTACAGTTGGACATTGCTGGCATCACTGTGGGTGTGTTTACTGCAGGTTTCTCCTCCAAACACAGCGGTTTGGAAAATCAGGCGAAACCACAGAGAATACATTTTCTTCATAAACAACACTTCAGGCATTGTTTGGTGTTGACAGGTATTCAGGATAGTTTGGGATTTCCCCATCTTGTGTCCAACGTTTACCTAAACATGTAGCTGGTGTTGTATCTATACATAGACTGTGGGTTGACCATGTCACGCATAGACATACTATAAGAATAATGGGGCCTCCCCTGCTAAAAACGTATTCACTCGCGGTGACCTGTTACATCATGTTACACACTGCACATACATTACAGAACACACACACATATACACTTCAAGGCGCCACGGGGCTTTGGAGCACCAGGGCAACCCCCCCAAACAAAAGGGGTTCTCGATATAGAGCTGTGAGCAGCCGTGACATGAAGGCTCATCCACCGTGACAAAAACACTGGTGCAGTGTTTGACCTGGCATTAGCGGGGCAGTTTCCAATAACACATTATAGGCTCGGCCCTACAGTGACATAGGGCTCCGTGTGTTGGCCCTGGGCATCAGATGGATTGATCAGACTGCTGGTGCAGATGGCAACAGAGAGCTGCAGCCTGGCAGACTGCTGGGACATCATTAGTGTGGGGCTGTCATCATGATGTTACTGGTCAGTGCTGACGCTGACTCTGCCACACCAGATGACCCCAGCTACACTTTTCTTTTTTTTTCTTTTTTTTTTTTTTTTCCTGTCATTTGTGCTGGAGAATAAACACACCATGAAATGTAACTCAGTAAGATTCACCACAGCGGAGTGATGCTAGAAAAAAAAGCAGCCCCTGAAATAGGACTGTTTAATATCTAATGTGCACGCAGCAGCTATTTCTGAAGCAGTTGTTAGTGTGCTACTTTTTTGACAGCAAGCTTCAGGGAAGGTAATTAAAGTAATCTGCATTTACGTTAAGAAGCAGCAAAACATTTGATGGGTGGATGGTTACATGCTTGCACTGCAAGACAGCTAATTTGCATCTTAATTTGTTTGGTATTTTGGTGTCTCTGCCGAACTTGTGATAGTAAACTATTAAAGTTATTTTAAATGACTGAACATACCGTAAGTATTAGTTTGACTTCGCCTTCAGGAAACGACTCGCAAAGCTTTGGTATTTTATTTTATAAAACACTAAATATTGCATATCTGTGCCATTACTGCGTTTTGGATGAAATTGAAATTTTGAAGCTGCACTAATTAGCTTTGTCTGTGTTTTCCTAGTTTTTTGAGTTTATGAGATTTTTTATTTTTGCACAATACAAAACAATACAAAATACACAGAAAATGACAAAGTTTAACAATGTAAAGTGCAGGACGAGGCAGAAAACACAGTGGGTAATGTTAAAAGTAGTGTTAAAATTTAAAAATTTCACAATATTAGAGAACACAAAATGAACATATAGGAAATCATAAGACTAAAAGTAATGACTGTTACTATTAGTTTACCATCAATTTTAAATCATGTATATATAATGAAAAGAACAATAACAACCATAATATTAAAATAAGAGCATGTGTTTGTAAGAGGGATATTGGTTTATACACCTGTGTTGACTCCTGAACAATACTAATAATACATGTCAGTATGAGTGAGACAAATACAACATGATACTTGAAAAAATAAATGGGGAAAAACAGTTAAGTGGTATTTTAAGCATTTTTTGTTACATTTTATGAGGGCTGGATGGGAGAAGCCGCTCCATTGTTTGGTACCCTGAAATCTTATTGGAGTTGGGTAAGAATGGATGTGAATTTGCTTTAAAGTTAGTCTGCTCAGGAATATTCTCTTCGATTGAATGTATCTTTAAAGTAAAAACATATTTGAAAAATATGAATGTCATGAAAACTCTGATCAGGTTTCAGTCCTTACAAAATGTTTCTGGGGGACCAGACGTTTGTGGAGAGTGGTAGGAAAAGTACTCACCCAAACTATATTATAATATGAAAGGGATGAATGAGACTATAATAAAGAGTGAAGAGACAATTTGTGATGACAAGATGACTAAACCTCTTACATTATACCAATAGATGTATTTATTCTTCTGCTTACACAGTCAGTTTTCTCTCCAGTTCAAAATCTCATCAACAAAAAAATCCCAGGAATCTTCCAGTTGACATTTCTCAACCGCCTGGATGAATCTAGATGAATCTCTAGAGTACAGACACTAGCTGTGAACCTTCGGCCCCCATTCAGTTACTGCACCGCATGAAAATCAGACAGGTGTGCAGCCAAAAATGACTTAATTTGAAATGTAAGATTTACCTAAGTTAAAAAGCAAATGATTTTATTTACGTGGGTGGGAAAGAGTACAATCACAGTAATCTTTGGCAGTGTGGACCTGCGCTGTATCTCCCTCCGTGTTGCAGGAGAACTTGTGAGCTCGCGGGGCTGGGTTTGCATGCAGAGAGAGTGACTCGTCACGGCTTTACAGACGATTATGCAACACAAGATCAAACTATATCGATATAAATGAAATTGTCTCATTCTATAGCTCGTTTGACATATTGATATACCTTAAAATGAAAGCTGCTGACTACGAGCAACACTTTTATGATTACATACAGTCGTTTGATCCATTGTTAATATAAAAACGTATTAATTAGTGCAGCTGTAAGGTCACATGTTCAACTTATGTGACACTAATGACTTTAAATCCAGTTTTTCATGTCAGCCTTTAACAGTCTGACCTGTCTTTCAAGGCATCGCTGGCATCTCAACACATGTTCCCTAAACTTGTCCTTCCAATTCCCATTTCCGTTTCCCTGACCACCGTGTAAAGATAGGATGTGGAAAGAATCGAGGACACCTACGCTCTTCTGAAATACTCTTTCCTAAAAAAAATAGGAGGGGGAAGAGCTCCTCTCTTCAGTGATGAATATGTGCACATGGAAAAAATGACTGCTCTCACAAATTGGAGTGCTCACTCTCTGCTTTTATGACTATAAATGTAATTCCTGGAAAGTGAAAAAAAATCCAAATCCTGCTGTAGTTCATTGTCTGTGCTACTGTTGACCAAAGTAACAAAAGAAAAAAGAATTAAAAAAAAAGAAGCCCTCAATGAGAAAGGCCTGTAATATCTTGTGCTGTTTCATCTCTAAGCTCTTTGTATACAGCCTGTTCATGGTGGGAATGTTGCACCTTTTATTTTGCCGTTCTGTATAAAAGGTACAAATTTGGGGCCATTGTTGTTCCGGCAATAAGCTGGCACGCTATCTAAACATTACTCACTGGGGCTGCATTCTGCTGGCTTTGTTGGATACAGTGTAAACAAGCAAAGCCGGCATCATGAGGGGGTCTTCTTAATGGCAGTGTGGCAGGATCTCTGTTTAAAAGAAGCATCTGATGCTATGCAGTATCCATTAAAGGCCACTTCTTACTTTTTAATAACTCCTTCCTCATTTGCTACTGTCCCCTTTGCAGTATAGTGTTAGAGGATGTTATACTGTCACCATGTGAGTCTGTCTGTATATTGATGATCATTAAAGTTGATAGTATTAGTCTCCAGTGACATCACAGACACAAATTCTACTATATTAGAAGGTAACTGGTGATTAAGTAATTCCAGTGCCATCTAACTTTTCTATACATGCATCTGCTTTTATCTGCTCCAACTAGGTTCCACTCATGTCGGGGACCCGCGGGCCACATCGAACCCCAGCTCGCCCTCCTCCTCCCCGCACACCCCCAGTGCCCTGGGCAGCGGGAGCTCTGATCCGGTCCTGAACGGAGGCCTGTGCTCTGCCGCTTACTGCAGCTCAGCAGGGGGTAGGTACACGCAGATAGGGAGCTACTACTACAGAGGAAGAGAATCAATCACCCGACAGGAGACCGAATGGAAGTCATTATGGGATAGTGAGCAGATGTCATCCTGCAGTAGTTAGGAACAATAGCCAGCACTTCGCGGTCCCACCGCTGCTGCAGCTGCAGCAAGGAAAACGTTCGGCACGTGCTGTTATGTCACATAGCGCTGTTATATAAATGGGCCTGATGCACTGTGGCTCTCCTTTGAGACTGCAGGAAATGAATCTGATACAAAACCTCCTACACACGGTTGTTTTTTTTTTTTTTAGCCTGATAATCAGACTGAATAGCAATTTAGATTCACTTCATTTATTCGGCTGGATGTTGTTTTCATGATATCTAATTTCTTGTTGGATGGAGGGAGGTATTTAGCAGCATTTCCACCAGTGTATTCCGAGCCTGGCAGCCACGCTGGGCCTTAGTTGACCCGCCGCCGGGCCTAAGCATCAGGAAATTTGGGGCGGCTCAGTTGGAAACCTAGATATAAGACCGGCGACATCTGTTGGTTAAAACGATTTGTCGACCCCCGAGGCTCGGGGGTCAATGAAGCACAGCCGGTTAGCACCCCGTTCTCTGTAGCATCATTAGAACAACAACAGCCACAGCCATTGGGCCACTGGCACTGGGACAAATCCTGGTGGGCTGCCCCATTGGTCAAACAGTCCATGAAGGTTTTACCAGCTCTGTCATTCCCTTCACCTGTAATCTTGGAGCGCCTGTCATTGTGTTGCTTTGTGTGGTGCAGTTATTCTGTACTTTTAAACATTAAATAATAAATTCAATGTTATTTCAAAATTTTACAATCATCAAAAACAGCCATCAACAGGCACAATATAACAATTTACTTATATATACTAATACTACTAATATACCAATGTTAAACATACACTGTCACAGCACAATTTACATTCCATTTTCATTAAGCTGGTTAAAATTGTCACTTTCCTTTCCCCATCTTTCCTGATCTAACATTTCGTTCCTGTTTTGCCACAGGTACGACCCCGAACTCACCAGTCAGCCTCCCCAAGTCTCCTACGTTCCCATCAGGCCGTGGGCCTTGGTCCGATGAGTGCTCTATCTGTTACGAGAACATGGTGGACACGGTCATCTACGCCTGTGGGCACATGTGTCTGTGCTACACTTGTGGTGTCAAACTCAAGAAGATGTCCAACGCCTGCTGTCCCATTTGTAGAAGACAGATCAAAGACATCATCAAGACCTACCGCAGCACGTAAGGGGACAACGGCAAACGGACGGACGGCCTCCCTTACAACAGCAAAATCCCAGAGTCAGGGAAAGAAATGTCAGTGAATATGAACTCTGGTACTTTGATTTGGTATTTTCATACAATTATTGCTGGTTGGTTTACGTTCGTGACCTTTTCCGAAGCCAGTACCACTTTGTTGGGAAGGTCTCTTTCACTTTAGAGTCGTTGTCACAGCCTCCCTGCGGAGGAGGCACTTGAAGTGGCAGGGGGTTCCACTAAAAACTTTATTCTTGCCAGAAGTGTTTGCTCTCTCCTGGGAACTTGGAACACTTTGAAAGAGAAAGGAAAAACTGAACCAATTCCAAAATTCTCTCATATGTTGAGCCATGTTGCAAGAATTAGGGACGAACGCCCATTTGCACCGAAGCAAATGAGTCTTTTTGGGACTGAATGTCTCAATAATAGCTCTTTCAGAGGATGACTGAAGCTCTGAAATATGTTGTCAACCTGATGGATATTTCTGACTTAACCAGTCAATAAAAAAGCACAGCAGGTAATCAGCTCAGTATGGCACAACTTGTGTCTGTGTGTTACTGGGCATTGGAAATGAGAAGTCGGTTTGGCATTGTAATGATGAAGTGATGGATTTCTGTAATCGTCGTAGTGATTATCAGTGAGTGATGTATTTAGAGATGCAAAGCGGTGCTGAGTATATTAAGTAGGATTGTAACACCTCTTGTACTCGTATAATCTAATGTTACCTTTATGGTAGTTCTATTGCAAACGTCAGTGGTTGCTATATTGTTGTGCTAGCTAGCTGCTTGCTCTGCAATGTGGTATGTTGCACTGAAATCAGAATCGTCCTCTCAGAAATGCCCCGTTACTGACAGAAATAGAAAGACATTCATCTGTTTAAACAATCTACAGACCTGTGTCCATCATTCTAAGCAGTATAGAATTCTTGAAAGGAAACAGGAAGTGGGAAAAAAAAACAGTAATTTGGATTCTCCTCAGGGCCAATGTTAATTTTTTTTAAGATGTGAATATTTCCCCAAACTCCTACCTAAAACCATGCCTAATACACTGTGAGCGTGCATCCCGAATTGACAAATCCTCAAAAATAGCTCCCATAACAATACATGAAGTCAAAGGATTGTTGCCATGGTATCAGAAGCCACCACGCATACAACACAGCCTCCTGCCTTAACACACAGAAGTTTCATTTGCTACATGCAGATGTATCACACTCTGTGTTTTCTGCCGTTTTCCCAAACCCCTGACAAATTACCAAATAACTAAGTTGTGTGGCACAAACTGCCACAAAACGTTCACTCAGAGGAGAAAAGCACACAAATTTAAAAACTATTTTTGTAATATAAAACCATGACATTTCCAATATTTAACTTAAAATATATAAAATCTTTGTGACAGGACTTTCACCAGCAGCGGAGATCCTATACAGAAATCAGTTCCATTGAAGCTCATATTTTGAGTATTTGTATGATTCCTATCCATTAATTCCAGTATAATATGTCCTGATACATCCCCTTCAAATTTCACCTGTAAATACTAAAACTCAGCAGTAAGCCATAGCTTATTACAAGATACCACTCGGAGCTGAGAGGCCGTTTTTTTGTTTTTTTTTTTTGTTTTTTTTTAAATGACATCATACTTCTTTTTTTTTTTTTGATAATCTACCAATGGGGCTCAAACCTTTGCTGCTATGGTATTTGCCAGCTGTCCTTTCTGGGGCCAACACTGGCAGTAATGTTTCACACATCCCTCCTCCCACATTACAGTTTGATTACGCTACTGCTTGAAAGTGTTAATTCACATTTTGAATGTTAACTTATGTAATTAGAGAAATAAATGATTTTTATCAGTGTGTTTGAATTGAACAAAAAAAACAAAAAAAAAAGTTTCGTTTGTGTTTTTTTTTTCTTTTTTTTCATTTCTTTTTTTTAAGTTTGTTTGGGTTGCTAATCACGGTTTTAAGATTTGTTTTTTGTTTTTTTTCTTGTTTATCCAAAACCATGAGAATCTAAATTTCCTCTTGTTTTCTAATAGAGAGAATATAGGGGGTTTCTTGTACCTTTCAGCAATAAGAGATATTGCAGTGCACAATCAAAACCTCATTGCTTTGCGGTGCAAGATATAAACTCTTGGTTTTATTACAATCCCTGAATTTCAGGTGTTCTTTTTTGTAATTTATCTTCTTGTGTGTAAGCCCATGTTAGGAAGCCCTACTACCCACTTCTGTATTTATAGCTCGTATGATTATATAGTCTGAAAGCCATCACTGTATGGTTATGATAAATGTCACTTTATAAAGCTGCTGATTGTAATCTTGTAAATGTTTAAGCCAGCGTTGCTCTCTGAGATTCAACCGTGGCATGTTTTTATTTTGTGCAGACACTCTGACCAAATGGAAAAAAAATTGATTAATTTTTTAAAAATACATTGTATAAATGTAATTCCCTTGTGCAAAGCTCTGTATTTATTTTGGGGCTCTTTTTTAACATTTACATTCAGTAATTTTTGGACAACATCATTTGCTAAACACAAATCATAGTTCATACCAAGCTAAGTACCCATTTGGCTTTGGATGGAGGTTTTCATCTGTAAATTATTTTATGCACTTCTTTTAATCAAGGCTGCTATGCCATTAATTTTTTGTTATCTTGTGTTTGCATCCAGAAAACTCCACAGGCTCCTTGAATGTCGCTGATCCTGTAATGTATTATTTATTTGTCCATCACAGATGTGTGGACTTATTCCTCTAAACCTGTTTTTCTTGTGTGTTTGTGTGTGTGTGTGTGTGTGTGTGTGTGTGTTTGCTTTCTTCTTCATTTCATTGCCACTAAACTGTTGCGAATCCTCTGTGTCTGGCCAATCGCACAGCAGCAGCACATTTAGAGGTTCTTTCTGGAGATCTTAGTACTTTTTGTCATGCATGAGTTGTCTGTTCACCCAGCGTGAACATCGGGACCAACAGTAGACAAGCATCCGAGTGGAACACTGTTACAGTGTTCATGTAGACAAGAACCAGTGGATAGAAGTATGATATAGAGCTCAGTTTGGCCGTTGTTGTGACACAGAAGCTGATCTACTCTGTAATCCTTTATTTTCTGTCTTTTTCATTTGAAACAACAAGTGATTGTTTGTGAGCTCTGTTCAGTGTGAGTCGGATGATTGTGGTTAATAAACTTTCCAGATGTGTTTGAGCAAAAGTTGTTTACCACATAATAGAAATAACATTTGCACATTACACATGGCTGAACAAAATTCTCTTTCAGGGAAAGAGAATAAAATACTTATTTAAAAAAAACAAACACATTTTCTGGAATGCGAGAGACACATTTGCAGGTTGTGTATCTTAAAGCTGCATTAAATTATCTTTTCAGCTAACAAGCTGTAAACACAAGACTGACAAACTGTCACCTAATAAAGTTGTTATGGCTAACATGTTAGCAAACAGCTAACAGATTATGGCTAGTTCAAATTATAACAGGCTGAGATATAGTTTATGACTTAAAGAGATGGATTTTGAAAATATTGAGCATTCAACACAGTGTTAAAATGATAACATTAACGTAGTATCCCCATATATATGTTGTGGCAAACCAGCTACATACAGGTTTGTCACAATGAGGTTTGTCACTATGAGGGACACCTTTCAAATTATTTGATAATATAAAAATGTGGGTTGGTGCAGCTTTAACAGAAAGTTTTGTTTTTAAATCCTGACATCACCAACACAGCCTCTGCAGTGACTCATTGGAAATTGCCAGTCACACAAGTGGTCATTAGCCACTCTCATACTTAACAAGATTCCAGCTGGAACAACAACTAATCAGTGCATCTTTAAATGGCCATCAATTTGAAGTTTCAGTCACTGCGACAGAACAGAAAAAAACAAACAAGTATATACAGGTAGTAATCTCTACCAAACGATCTTCGGGATGATCAACATGCAGACTGATAAAGCTCATCGGCTCTATGCAGCCGAGGTGTTGTGTGAGTCCCTGATTGAAAAATAGACATTTCAGTGCAAGTGTTGAGTAAAAGTAGCATTTCTTTTTCTGTAGAGCATATTTTTCCTGCATATTCTACTACTTCACACAAACAAAGACATTTATACAAATACTGTTTGTGTACTATCCCTTATTTGGCCAACTGCTCCAGCTATCACATCTTTCCTTGCAGATTTTGCACTTCAGAACAGGTGAGACAAAAAAAAAACATCTCTTAAGTCTTTTCACCTCTCTTCTTTTTTTTTCTTCTTTTTTAAGATTGGCAGAATTTTAAAGTTAGTGGTTGTGATGCTTTTGTCGGTGTCAAAAAAATATAAGTGTCAAAAAAATAGAAATAACGAAGCAATCAACACTCAAGGTCCAATTAGTAACTTTTTTTGGGGAAGATTTCAGTTTTTATCATAGTCTTCATCAGCAGGTGAAGTTTGCGTAGTTGTCATGGAGTTGAAAATGTTCAAGTTATTCTGAGCACTTGAGGACTTCACATCCATGTTGGCTTTCATGTTTCCATAGCAATAGTGAACTGTCGAGTTCAACAGAATAGAACAGAACATTGCAGAACAGTGTACAGGGCTCTCTATCTGTCTGATCACTTAGTATATATAGTATTGTGTAGTTGTATATTGTTAACTACAGCAATCACGTTAGGTTCTATGTATTTTCTTTTTTCCTAAATTGAGCTGCTGTGGTGTTTGTGTACGCCAGCCGTGCCCTCTGAGGTGCGGATGAAACACAATGCTAAGTCATCTGGGGGCTCTGTTACATCATGTGCCACGGCCTCTGCCTCTCAACCACAGCTGCTGGGGGGCTTCACAGTGACAGGTAGGAGATCAGTGGAAATACTTGCACCCGACATAAAAACTCAAGTTGTAAATGTGCTCCTACTAAAAGGATTGCACTATATATTCATGAGGCACCTCTTCCAGATGTCTCTTCAATAGCAGATGGTAGCCATCTGCCTATCTGTGTCTGCAATAGACTGATTTACAACATC